AAGATTCTACAACAGGTGTTTGAACTTACCTTAACTTGGATTGGCTTTGTAGTGATCGGTGGAGTTGAAGCACTCGAGGTAGAAAACGCGGTGGCTAACTTTTGGCAGCACTTCTTAATCCATTATTTGAAAGCGATATGAAGTCCACTTTCTGCCATAGACTAAACTAATAAGGAGTAATACTTCGTTATGAATACAGAAAAGCTGACTTCTTTCAATTTTGTGAGCAACACGTTTGAAAATCATGCTTTTTAGGCGTTGGGAAAGACTAGAAAATGTAATAGATAATGGCTCGTTGAGGTAATTTGGCATGCTGATTACGAAAATCATACCAATTTACACGAAAAGCTTCTTTGGTGGCCTTACGGTATGTTTAAGGTAAGGCTCCCGCCAGAGTGCCGAAGTTATGCCAGCGCTACGCCAGCATTTCGATCGGTACACGTGTATTTCGTTGGGGACGTCAGCTAGCCCCGCCCCAACGAAATACGATGTACCCTCGATATCATCCCATATGTCTTCCCTCAACATGACGTGGATTACGTGGTTTGATGAGGCGCCGCCTCGCCTCGGGCTCGCGCCACGTTGCGAGCGCATCGTTTGGCGCGACGTGGCGCTCAAACCAACGTGGCGCAAGGCTTTTCCATGTTGTTCTTGTTGCCACATCACGCCGAAGATGCGCACGCAACGTGGGGCGTGCCCGAAGCGAGGTGGCGCCTCATCAAGCCACGTAATCCACGTCATGTTGAGGGAAGACATATGGGATGATATCGAGGGTATGTATCGATCGAAATGCTGGCGTAGCGCTGGCATAACTTCGGCACTCTGGCGGGAGCCTAAGATGAAGAGTTGAAATTTGGCTGAGACTTCGTCAGTCGAGTGAATCAGCATGCTGTCCACTATAGCCAAAAACGACCGAAAAATTTTGTTGAATGAACGAATATCAAATAATCGACTTTTGAAAAATATTCGAGCGAACGAATATAGTTCATTTTTAAAATCGTGACGACGGATTTGACTGCGGTCCTTGCGCCCACAGGAGCATAAAACACTTATTCAAAAAGGCATCACCTCAGAGCTCAACTCAATCACTTCCAATGTGTAAATACTATCATATGTGAGCAGAAAAACCTTCCAAGCAGCGATGAAAATAAAGAAAATGCGGTTGCCGGAAGACGCCTGCGTGTTGCGCGCGGTCGCGCCATCGTCACAATTTTTCGAATGTCCTATACTATTCGATTTGCGATTTTCAGGTTGTTCGAATTTGAATATTCGAATAATGCACATTTCAAAATTCGAATGAACGCATATTCGAATAAATGGGGTTGGTCGAATATTCAACTATCCGAATAATCGAATGATTAGACTTTCTCAAATATTCGACTATTCGAATATTCAAATATTTCGAATAAATTATGCGAACACGATCATTCGATTCTAACTATACTGCAGACGCGATTTTCAGAAGACAGTACCACTCCAAATGAATTATGCATAAGACTTGTCATCATTATGCGCTGGCATGACTCGCGATTGCCTCAAAATGAGAACCTTGCTAGCCATTCTTTCATATAATCATTCATTTGATGATTGAACAATTAAGGGCGTACTTACTACACTCAATGGAACAGCTGAATTTTTCTTTTGACATCGAATGTTCGAATGAATGATCTTTAACATTCGAATATTCAAATGACTGTCTTTCAAGATGGCTCGAATCTTCGAATGTTTTTTTTAACTTCTCGAATGAACGACTATTCGAATAACTTATTTTCCCAAATCTTCGAATGAACGAATTATTCGAATACAAACCTTTTTCATTTACTCGACTAGAATAATCGGACTTTCTTTAAATAATCGACTGTTCGAATATTCAAATAGACGAATATTCGGTTCGAACTATACTGTTCACGACAATCATTCGTCTGGTGGAGTTCTGAGATTCACGGTTAAGCGCTTTTCTTCTTCACCTTACTTAATCGTAGTATCTTAAAATCCCATAGATAAGAGCGGTTTAATTTACCGGTGAAAAATGAATTGGAAGAAATTGAAATTGAATGCAGTCACCCCTCTAACTTGATGGATGGATAAATAAAAATCGGAGAAGTTTAGAAGAAGCTCCGCCCCTCAGCTCTAAACCCCGCCCACTTAATAAACAGTTCATATAGAAGAATAGCGATTTTAACGGAATTTCGGAATTTTCTATATGAATTGTTTATTAAGTGGGCGGGGTTTAAAGTTGAGGGGGGAGCTTCTTCTAAACTTCTTCTCCGATTTTTATTTATCCATTCATCAAGTTAGAGGGGTGACTGCACTCAATTTCAATTTCTTCCAATTCATTTTTCACCGGTAAATTAAACCGCTCTTATCTACGGGATTTTAGGGTATTTCCTCAATTTTTGAACAAATTCGCCTTTAACACGTTTCGAACCGCGAAATCGCGCGCGGCGAAAAAGAGTACACTTTCAACCAATGGCCAATAATGGGACCTTATTTTTTAGACTGTGTGCTACATCTGTAATTATCCTCTCAAATAAGTTCCATACCCAAGGTTCCAAGTGGATTCGATGTGTTTAAATTTTGTCGCTAGTGAAGGATTCCTGTGCTTTTCAGAAAGATAGGAACAAGAACTTAGTTTTTTTATTAGTAGTCAAAAGTATCTATATTGTAGATGGTACACATCAGTATTGAAACTACGGTTTTTCTCTTTGATATCAAAGCAAAGAGAAGTTGCGACGTCGCACGCGTCGTTTGCGTTGCCGCACTTCGTTGCAGCTGTTGTTCGATTTGTCCTCATATCTCCTAAACAAATATCGGCGGCACACTCTACAGAGTCATTTGAAAAATAGAAGCTTAGGCCTTTGACTTAATAACCTTGGACCAAAAAAACCGGCGCTATTCCACATAAGTGACCCAAAAAATAGGGATCGTGAATTTCGCTAAAACTTTGTCTAGGGAGGTTATTCGGTACGCTGGATGCGGTGCAGGAGGAACCAAAAGCCTGCCGCCTGTAGCCGTAGGAGATAATTAGGAGGGCGAGCGCTGTGGAGAAGATTTTGGCAAGGATCCAGGAAAACTTGGCCAGGACATCCATTAGAAACAAACCCTTATAACTCTCCTTGGAATCAAGTTTCAAGGATACGAAGGACAGATTTGGAGTCAGTAGTGAAATGCGCATTTTTCAATAATACGCTTACCGGATAGTTGAACAATTCTGTCTCGCAATTATTTTTAACAAAAACTGTGCCTTCAAAATTCACCATTCTAAACTGAAATTTTAAGCTAAATGTTGGGTGAAAATTCCAACTGAATTATAGTGAAATTTTTGGATACGAAGTTGAAAGCATGAAATGGTAACAAGGAAATAATGTTAACTAAGTTGCTTGTGATGAACTTTTGCTACTGTGTACGACCTAAAAGATTACCGACATAGTTTCAATGGCAAATCTTATGAAGTCTCTAATGTCAAAATTTAAAATTAGAATGGGTTTGAAGCTATGAGACAAACTGCATATTGCATTCTGACACAAACCTCCAGATGTGTTCTTATGACATTTTAATTGCTTTTCATTGAATCAAAAGGTAAAATAATTCTTTATCTCGAAGAAGAATTTTGAACGAAAACCCCGGACTTCAACAACTTGAAACTTCGAAATTCAAAACAAAAAGTTTCTGTAAGGTAGTTGACTTTTATTACCATTACCTTTCCAAATTTTCATTTACTTTTAGCCCCAGTGAATGCGCCTTCCAATTTGCATTACAAATATTTTTTAAATTTTTCAAAGTCATCTCCAGGCGAAGTTATGAAGATTTCTTCCTAAAGGATGTCCTTGCCGAGTTTTCTTGGATCCCTGCCAAAATATTCTCCACAACGCTCGCGCTTTTAATTATCTCCTGCGGATACAGGCGGCAGCCCTTTGGTTCCTCCTGCACCACCCCCCGGTACGCTGAACACGAATACGATGTTTATTTCGTGCGACAGCGCCATCCGGTGGAGTTACGGTAGGATTACGGTAGGGGGTCAAAATCACGGATTTGCCCGAAACTTGGCCTATAGGGGTTATTCGGCCCGCTGACGCCGAATATCACATTGGTTTCGTACTGTAGTGTCATTTTCTCGAGTTACGGTGGGTATACGGTAGGGGGCCAAAATCTCGAAATTCGCTGTAACTTTGCACAGAGGGGTTATTCGACATGCCGATTAGAAATGTCACACTTTCTCCGCACGAAAACGTCTCCTTGCATGGTTACAGTAGGTTTACGGTAGGGGTCAAGATCACAAATCGGCAAATGTATCTTTCTCCTGTGCTTTGCTTAGGCAAAAGCCGCAGCAGAGTGTGTAGCGCGCGCGGTGGTCACGTGTACAAAGCTTCACGATCATCCGAATCGCCATACACCCGTTTCGGGATGAACTATGTTTTACAGGCGCTATTCCAGGGTGTAGGACGTTTCGCACGACCGTAATGCTTTCCACACAGGACCACCGCCGCGCGCGACACACTTTGCGGCGGCTTTTGCCTGAGCAAAACAGGGGGAGGAAAGATTTGCGGCGTGCATTACATGTTAAGACAAGTCAAAATCAGGGAGACGCTGGAGACCGTCCGTGCGAAAAGACCGTATCCCGCTATTCCAGTATACCGACCCCAAAAATTAAAAATCTCGGATTTCGCTCAAACTCGTTATAGGGGAGTTATTGGATCCGCTGATGCCGAATATCATATTGATTCCGTGCGATAGCGCCATTTTCCGGGGGTTACGGTGGGTATACGGTAGGAGGTCAAAATCACAAAATTCCCTGAAACTTGGTGGAGGGGGGTTATTTGACATGCTGAACACGAATATGATATCCATTCGTTACGGTAGCACCTCATTCCGGAGTTACGGTGGGTATACGGTAAGGGGTCAGAATCACGATATCCGCTGAAACTTCGGGTATGGGGGTTATTTGACATGCTGATCACGATTATGATGTTTATTAGTTACGATAGTGCCTCATTCCGACGTTACGTTGGATATACATTACCAATACCACCGCTAGATCGAGATTCAGTGCTTGAAATCTCAGTCACACGTCGGAAATTTCCTCCCCCTGCTTTGCTTAGGCAAAAGCCGCCGCAGGGTGTATCGCGCGCGGCGGTGGGTGTGGAAAGCAGTGAATGAGACCCTCTTACAGTATACCCACCGTAACCCCGGAATGAGGTGCTACCGTAACGAATGGATATCATATTCGTGTTCGGCATGTCAAATAACCCCCCTCCACCAAATTTCAGAGAATTTTGTGATTTTGACCTCCTACCGTATACCCACCGTAATCCCCGGAAAATGGCGCTGTCGCACGGAATCAATATGATATTCGGCATCAGCGGATCGAATAACCCCCCTATACCGAGTTTGAGCGAAATCCGAGATTTTTAATTTTTGGGGTCGGTATACTGGAATAGTACCGTTTTACACCCGTTACCGTGTAGCTACCGTAACCCGAGAAAATGACGCTACGGTTCAAAACCAATGTGATATTTGGCATCAGCGGGCCGAATAAGCCCTCTGGGCCAAATTTCGGGCAAATCCGTAATTTTGACCCCTACCATAATCCTACCGTAACTCCACCGGATGGCGCTGTCGCACGAAATAAACATCATATTCGTGTTCAGTGTGCCAAATAACCTCTCTAGACGAAGTTTTAGCGAAATTCACGATTTTCATTTTTTTGGGTCAACTTATGTGGAATAGTACCAAAAAACCTGTGAATGTCAGGAAGATCCTTCAAAGCAGCGTGCTGGCACCATGTGCAGCACCGGTCCGAAACGTGTTAATTACCACCCCCCACCCCTAACCCCACGCTCAACCCTGACTTTTACTCAAGTCGGTAGTTCCCACAGACCATGGGCATCTCCAAACAAACCATGCTTTTGCCTGTTGTCCAATTTCATACCGATTTACTACCATCAAAGACCACTCCCTGGATGTCAAGAACATTTTTCCACAAAGTTATTTCTAACTACACTCTTCAGTGAGCCGACAGATGAGCTCCTGGATACGACTGTTTACTGCTCTCAATTCTTGAATCTCGCTACTAATTCTGCGATCCACAGCAATTCTAAGATATCATTGAAAGCTAAAATGGTGCTGATGAAAACATGTTGGTACAATTTCTCGTTCCTAAGAAGTGTAGAACAGAAAACCAGCATACTAAACATTGGTCACTACTGACAACGAGATGAAGGGTCAAGAAGCGCCTCTCCTCTTGCCTATGTTTTTCCTTGTAGGACTATACGAACCGCAATTAAGACCGAACGCTCGCATTCGAAAAAGTTGGCCAACTATCCGAAAGGAAAGTTATTCGTTATACGGAAAGATTTGAAAACGAAACCTGCTTCGGCATTCACTCGTTCAAAGTCCCGGAAACCGATCATTAATAGTGCATTCACTAAAAATCTCGCCGTATCTATGATATATGCTATAGACCTACCAGTTTACTCTCCAAGGTCTGAAGTGAACTGAACTCATCTCGCAATAAGCGTGCATGGGCCATAATTTATGATTTACTGCAAACGATGACCTTGCATTCCCAAAAGAGACTACACACACAGCGTTAATGCGAACTCAGAACTCAACATAATTGATTCATGAGTGTCCCGCTTCTACCCGTCCAACATAGTTTTTCAAACTTATCACTGGCGTACACAAGAACATAACAATTTATATCAAAGATGTACTATTTCTGAGCATCACCCAGACGTGAAGGATGGTGGAAAAATGTAAACAGGGCAAAGTTGTTGATGTACTATAGCAGGCCAAATCTATCTGGATTCACAAACGCTGCAACTTTACAATAAATACGGTTTCATGAAATCAAAGAATTCACCAAAATTGAAGGAGTCAATGAATTCATGCTTGCAGCGATTATGGACCCAGTTTGGCTGCGTCATGCCGCCCGGCTACCGCCGATGTTGTGGCGGTACGAAAGATAGTTAGGTTTAATTACGGTTGGATTTTTGTTGTACGGTAGCCTAGCGTACGGTTAGAGCAGTTGTTCAAGAGATATACTGGTTCTATTTGAAACGGGGTTCTTCGAAAAGGTTGATGTAAGATATTTGATTGATGGAGACTGAATGACCGTTGATGCCCTCGAAATTGAAGATGGAGTAGAATGGAGACCATGGCCTATAATACAGAACTTTCAGAGGAACACAGATCCAAGAACAGTGATGATTGTTCCTCTCATTTGAACGCATAACAAAAGACTTCATTTGGGTAGAACGACTCACTCAAGCTTCAGAATCTTTTGCACCACCATTTCCATTATTTCCGTTGCCGCCATTATTGCCGCCACCGCGACCACGGCCTCCACGTCCACGTCCACCACGACCACGACGTCCTCTTCCACGTCCTCCCTCGCCTCCGTTCACTGCCTCTCCCTAGACACACTACGGCATGACCTGTGGACTTGAGCATCACGAAAAAAAAAACAACCTGTTGGCCTTCAGCTCCTCCGTCGTCATGATTAGCAACTTGACCGGAGCCGCCACCACCACGTCCACGTCCTCCACGGAAGCGGTAGCCGCGACCACGACCTCCACGGAAGCGACGTTGACCACCCTTGAACAGCGTCAAATGTAGCAAAAAAAAACAAACCCCAGCAGCTCATTCAGAGCAGTTGAAGACATCCCACAATTTAATTTTTCCCCTTCAATATTGCCGCCCACGAGCAGAGAAACTCCAAAAAAGCTCACGATGGCTGCAGCTTCAACGGATAAGAGAAATTTAGTACCTCTTCAGGTCGATCTCCATCGTGCTCATTGCCGCCGTCCGCGTCCGCTCCTTCCCCACCAGATTGTCCTCCGCGGCGTCCGCCTCTATAGAAATTGCGGCGCCTAAATCTTCGCCCACCGCGCTCGGAATTGCGATCGGCAGCGTACTGCAACAAATATATCAACGCAAAGTAAAAGAAAACAGCAGATACTTTAGAAGGTCAATGCTTTGGAAGAACCGAATTTTGCTGAAAAGAAAAAAACAATTCGTTGGCATTAAGTAGTGAAGGTAACTTAACTTAGTCTCCAAAGAAGAAGAAAGTTATGGATTTTTAGCAGATAAATTGCATGCTTATCAACTGAATATTCCAGCATCTACCAGGCAGAGTCCTATCTACAAGCCTACCCAATTCAGTAGTATTTCGATCACTTATAAAAAGAAGCTCATAACTGTCTTCAGGATAACGTTTCGCAGCTAGACAGCACATTTTGTATCAGTGTTTGAAGCTGAATTCAAATGCATGTGTCACTATTTAAAAGATTGGCCACTTCGACCAAAAACACTTTCCATTTTGGACTGAACTCCAGATGAAATCTACACCAGTATGGAAAGCTTCGAACACCGATTTCAACTGTTTTAGCAATCTGCCGAACGCCTCTGCCCGCCGAGTTTGAAAACTTTTGAAGTTTTTTAGAGCAGAAAATAAGCGCAAAATTTGGATGAAACCGTTTTTTACGGCCGTTCCAGCGCTCATATAGAGCACTGTTGTGTCTGTGTAAACTGACAAAAAGTGTGCATTGCTTGAAGTATACTCATATTTAATACTGGACCATTTGAGCAATGTATAGATGACTCATTTGCGCGGTCACTTTTTCAACTCGAAAAACGCTCAAAACTCGGCGTCCAGGGGGGGGGGGGGGTTCACCGAATAAGGAAAACAGATTTAATCCAACGTTCGAAGCTCCACAAAATGGTATAGAACTCATTCGGTGAGGCCACTTTGACCAAAAACCTTTCCTAGTAAGTCAGGTTACCTTCGTTTAAAAGTTCAGCCTCTTTCTATAGTATAACGAAACTTTCCAAAATTTCAACAGCTCATAATCACCCCCCCCCCCCCTTACGTAATAAGATTCGAGTTTGATAAGAAAAACCTATACAACTGTCATTGTAAAGGCTTGCACGCATTCAAATGCCTCCTCGACTAATTGTAAGATGTAAGATGCGTTCGGTGCATGCCCTAAAAGGGTATTGAAAAGGCGAATCCTCTATCTTCTTATCAAACAACTGCATGGAACCACTACTTGATCGTGCGCAAATCGACAAACAAAATTAGACTGATGTAAGAAATCACGATTCTCATTTAACACAAAATAAGTTCCAAGATTTGGAAACACAAGCACTTTCTGGAATATCTTAATGTTAATCTTGATATTATTATATTCATTCGAACGCTACAATGAATGCAAGAAGCAAGCAGTCATCTTCAACAATTCTGTCTTTGATGAATAACTCCGGGAGAAATAAATGTTTTGCTCCAGAGCTCAGATCTGCCCTGTGGCTCAGAGTGTTTTCGTTTCATAACAACCAAGTTATCGGATATTACGGTAATATGAAACGACTAGTGGATTGCGATTAGTTTTGAAAGAAAAAGCAAATCTGACCGACCTTCGATCCTTGCACTGGCCCACCATCCTTGGCAGTTACATTAGAGGCTTCAGGTCCCTTCGCACCCTCGACAACATCAAATCGCACCTAAATTTGTCAATACTAATATCAACTAAAGCAACTATGGACTTCAACTACCTCTTCACCATCTCCGAGGCTGCGAAGAAACTTGTTGGGATTGTTGTTGGTTATAGCTGTTTGATGGACAAAAATGTCTTCGTTGGTGTCGGTTCGATTGATGAATCCGTATCCGTTCTTCACATTGAACCATTTTACAACACCAGATACGCCCTTCGCTACGACCTGATTGATATGTCAAACCAGATGAGATGTACCAGAAGATATTCTACGGTGATATTGTATTCAGCAGCTTCAGAAATGTGTTACTGAAGCGCACGATGGACCAGAAGCAAGTGCACAAACAGAAAACACAGCCTAAGTTATCAATGCTCCCTCAATACATACCCAAACTCGAAAACAATGGTTCGATTTCCTTATGCAAGAATAGGCGTCAACATTGTTAAGGACACCAAATTTGCTTGCAGTCTTCACAAAGAAAAAGTTTGCGCTAAAATCCCATGCGGTTTCACCACAAGACGACTCTTGCTGTTGTCATATTAGATACAAATTTTAATTGCTCTACAATGATTGTCAAATAAGAAAGCTGCTACAAGACCGGAGATAAGTCACATAAAGACTAATAGTGATGCCACAATGGTGCAGCCACGTAGAGGAAAAAACTCACAGGCTTTTCATTGTTGGCGGGTTGTTCAGTTTTTTCCGCGCTCGGCTTTTCCGCGACTTCCTGAAATGAATGAACCGATGATAATACGATAAGATCCAACAGCGCTCTCAACCGAAAAAGGTAGAAACGACCGCTAGCACTAAAAGGCCGAATGAGCACTCGAGGTTACAGTGCGCTAAAATACAGGGCACCCTACATTTTTTGAAAATTTTACACGCTCTGTATATACGGACAATTCGGCGTCGCAACAATGTGCAACGGGCAGCGGTTGCACTTCTGCTGGATATAAAAAGAAGCGGACGTCAGGCAGGCGGCAGCAAAGACTGGCCGCATTTGCTTCTGGAAGTGCCTGAGGAGCTCCAGACTCTCTCGCACCTCTAATCATTCTTCGCACCTTCGAGTACTTTACAAACAAGAAAATCGAACAAAAAGCTTCCTGAAGAGTACTTTATTTTAGATCGCGTTGAAAATCTTGCAATTTCTTTCAATCTCAGCTATGATCGGCATGACGAAAAAGTTGCAGGAATATGCTTAACATTCCGGCTTGAAGATTTGATGGACCAAGTTATACTTCCATATCTACTAAAAATTCCAATTTTTAGACCGCCTTCGATGTTGAATTAGGCTAGTTCTATAAACTTTTCTTGAAACTTACTATTTCATTAGCTTCGGATATGAAACATAAAACCTACACCTCGCAATCTACCACACTCGAAAAGTTTACGAATAATTAGGCACAGGTTACCAGATAGATACGTAGAAATGCGAAGAAGTACTCAGAGGCGCGAGGAGCTCTGAAGTTCCTCAGGTACACCCTTAAGCAGAAGCGGATAGCCTTTGCCCTCCTTCCCGACCGCCAAAAGAAGCAGCAGTGCAACCACTACAGCTTGCTTATTCTCTGTCGGCATTGGTGTACCATAATCTGAGAGGTTGGATTATGTCAAGTAACTGAAAAATGAATAGCGAGCATAGAAGGTGACGCACTGCGAAGAGTAGAGGCATATGTTCTTGTAAGGGATATTGAAGTGATCTTTCCGCATAAAATCAAGACCAATGAAGAGCAATGAACAATGACTACAAATCTGTCTTTACTATCTGCGAGCGCTTCAGAAAGCCGACTTGTAAACTTTCTCTTAAAAGCGCAACTGGGACGAAATTCCAAAATTGCTCAGATAGTTTAGTGCTGGATATCAGAGCACTCCGTTCCGTTCAAGCACTCCGCAACAGAGTGCTCTGAACGGAACGGAGTGCTCTGATATCCAGCACTGAACTATCTGAGCAATTCTTCTTTGTTAAATTCACATCACACAGCAAAACTGCTTTAAGAGGGCCGCAACACGGAATTTCTCCTAAGATTCTGTGTTTATTTTTTGCTCCACAAGACGTTCATAACTCGTTCGAATGACTCGAGAGATAATGAAAACATATTTGAAATCATCATCAAAGCTTTTCTATATGATAGTACCCATAAAATGGAGACTGAAAGCATACCTTGTTATGACAGAAAGTTAGAGCTTCTTCTCAAAACTATGATTCTTTTATAACAGAATTATATCTGATATCATACTAGTACATAGCGTTACAAATGTGAGTATCCGCTACGCCGACTAAACCCCTGAAATCTTCGCACCCGATTTAAACCCTCCAGCAGCTGTTGTAGTAGCGCAACTTTTGCAGTCAATATCCCTGAAGACGAAAGGCTCATTCCGTTACATACATTCTACACAAATGTTACACTATGTATAATAATTTGACCTGTCAGCTGTATTTGCTCACATGTGAGGGATACCCAGTAGTATGTCAAATGTTCCGATATACTGCACCACAAATTACCAGATAGCTTTGGGGTGAATTCTGCGCTGTGAACTCCTGAAGCAGTGCCGCAGGCACAATTCCTCCGCTTACTCGTAATCGTCTCAAGATCATGTTGTACAGTGCCATCACCGTACAGCTAAGGCAGCCTTCAGACCGCGCCGGACCCTGTCGTCGGGACCTTCCGAGTGAAGGACTGTCAAGTATGCAAAACTATTCTTCGTACACTTAGTACATTTCAAAATTTCGGTATTTTGCGCGTGCTCCAAGAAGTTTCCAGGCATACCTCCTTCGCTTCCCTCATATGGCAGGTTGCGGCGGGTTCGGGCACCTACCCACGGGTTCGGACGGGTTCCACCGGGTACGTTGTCTGAAGCCTGCCTAAGCGTGCAGCACCCTTGGATCAAATCTTTGATCCCCTATGATCCAACCGAAAGCAAAGTCATGAGTTTCAAATGTGAAAAATCATGCTTAAAAAACAATCCAATTCGAGACGATTTCTCAATCTAAGCGGATAATGTATGTTGTTTGGAATCTACAATTCGTGTGAATATGATAGCGAGGTTTTGTTTGAAAAAATCTACATATTGGACACAAATTCACGGTCGCACGCTTCATGGGCAATTATCAACGATATTCCGATGTTGTGGAATCTAATCTATTCATGGTAACACAAAAAATGTGCGAAGTGCCATCATGTACATCTAATGTAAGCACAGATCAAAAGTCAACCGTACAGTACTCAACAACTATGTTTGATCAGCAAGTGAGAAGTTCGGAAAGCACTAAAAAGTGAAGTTATGAGGCCAGCAATGACGCATGTGCAAGCAAAATCTGACTCTGCGGGAAAAAACTGCAAAATCATGACTGCCATGCCAGATAGGTAGGCGAGATAAAAAAAAAAGTCTGTTGCTCGCGTGACTCGTTTAATCCTCTGCAGCCACAGGATTGTGAAAATTATTCGCGTAGGGAACAAATTGCATACACAGCACCTTGAAAAACGCAACGTACCGCATAATCTAGTGAGCCGAGTGTCACGCATTTCCATTTGTTAGTAAGATAACGATAAACTGAAAAAACCCAAAAGCGAGATAATTGAACAGTCTTCGTCCTGCCTCCTTCAATTATAGCAAAATTTCCGCTTGCAATGCGATTCAGATCCCGACTTCTCCACGAAAATATTGTTATGAAGAAATGCGCCGCAATTTTATGGGGAATGATAGGTTCTGCATACTAAATTTTAGATGAAACGCTCCCTTTCTTACGAGTTTTCCAGCTCTATACAGATCTTTTCACAGTAAGTGATCTAACACCCAGCTTGAACTAGAAATCTGCTCAAAAATGCAATTACACGAAGTACTCACAGGACTTTTGTTGTCGCTCATGGTGTCTAGTGTCTTTCCACGCTCAGATGTTACCAGTTGGTAGTTGCGATTTGACACGCCGTGCGCACACTCCCGCTCACGCGATGTTCTGCGCTGAAAATGGTAAATTCATTTCTGGAACATTTTTGAGGCAAACTGGATAAGCGAACATAACAGGAAAGGTGCCGAACAAGATTAGGAAGAGTGGCTCGATTAGACAAGAGTGATTGGACTCATCTAAAAAACACCGTTCAGATGTAGGATTTTTCGATTGTCCGAATGTTGTTGTGTATTCAGGTGGATGAAGGAAATCGAAGAAAAAGTCTGGGAATTTTCGGCACTAGTGCACATATCGGGACCCAAAAAGTGAAAATCACACATTGCGCTGGAACTTTCCGAAGACTTGTTTGGCACGCTGATCACATATCATAATGATTATGCAGGGTAGCGCTTTTCTGGTTAGTTCAAAGCCCCAAATTGCTCGGAATGTTGTCCGGGTAGGCTGCGTTCATACTGATTACGTAATCCGGGAACAGTCCCAGCACAACGCTCACTTTGAGCGCTGTGCTGGAACTGTTCCCGAACTTCGGGATCAGTATGAACGCAGCCGTAGGAGGGCGGCTCTTCAGATTGAGAATTGAACGCCTCTTCAGACAAAATGAATGTGCGTTAGAGTCAAATGGAGTGATGATTCAGGTCATGATATATATTGTGCGTTAAAGACGAATAACCGCCACAGACGCTTCAGCAGAATCCATGATGTGGAACCCCTACCGACTTGTTCCTGAAAGTGGTGCTATCTTACAAGACCATTGTGATATTCGGCACGAACGGGTCCAATAATCACCATGTGCCAATTTCAGCAGAATTATTAAGAATAAGTAAAACAGCGCCGTTCGCTCCTTCTTGACTTCACCCCATGTTGTAAAGGAAGCTGACAAGGAATAGCATTCCTTCATTTTTTCAGTTCTTACTAACAAAGAAAACCTCCAGCCGTTTAAAGACTGGCGGTTAGTGAAAAAACCGACACTCATATACTGACTAGAAAATTCCAAAACACGATAAGCAATGACTCATACTGCTGCTATATGACTACGGGACTGAGTTTTGCATTCGCGGAAGTGGACGATTTGTGTAAAGTACAAATTGTTGACATAAACTCTAACGGTATGCATATACATTGTGCAGAGGTACTCAGAGTGAGAGGAAAGGCTGAAAAGGGTGCTACTGCAAATTTGTGCTGCATTGTTATCTGGAGCATGAAACTGAAAGAAGCAAAGACCTTCCAAATCACTACTTATGTAGACCTAAACGGTATTCATGAAGCAGACCACAAAGAACGGACCAAAGCATAATGAGCGTTATGTTATCTTCCAGAACTAATTGAAGTTCTATGGTCATTGTTTTAGATTAGAGTTTCAGGTGAACCATCCGAGCAATACCAAGTAAAGGGAAGCATGTCATTCTTTCGCTAATGTCCCTAATGAGTCCCCAGTCTCAAGACAAACAGACACTGGTTAGGTGAGACTATGGGGTGAAGCGGGAACACTCTCAACAGTACATCGTTTGCAAAAATCCCTGCAAACGCGGACCCATAAAGGGAACTTGTTTCCCACCTATGCAAAAAGCTGCATCATTCTACGCGCCCCAAAGTGCCAAAAATGGACCACCCTATGCAAAGGTACCCAACAGGTGCAGCGAAACGAAACAGAGGAGAATTTGCAGCCGAAGTTGAGATTGAGGCTAGCACGAGGCGAAGAATCACACAGGCAACGATGGGCAGCCCGTGGGGGGCGGGAACAACGCCCGATCGATCGCGAACGCGGGTACACAAAGGGCAGGGAACTAGCCGGGCTCGCCCCGCCCGGCAACCCGGCAATCAATCTGCACTCAATCTCACATCCTCTCGTCCAGAATATGCGCTTGTCGCACTTCCTCCACTTGTGAAGTGCAGCTGAAGCGATGGAAACTTCTGGCGGAAGAGGGGAGGGTAGGGGGAAGTAGGTAAATTGAGAACAGGTGATAAAGTATTTTCACATGCGATCTGTCGTATTATGCACTGCATAAATTAGAATTAAGAGTAAAATCTGGTTTCAGGTCCTCTGCGACATGTATTCAAATACGCAATTTCTCACTCCATAGGCAGCTCTGCAAACCCTTGACTCAAAATTCTTTTTGCTTACTTGGGGTAATCCGACGCGTCCCAAAAATCCACCTTAGAGGCGCAAAAATGGCGAAGACTTGCACTTTCCAGGCTTTCGTTTCAAATTTGGACCCGTGGGAAGTTCCCGCCAATTTACGTAAGTCGAGGACCCTAATGGGCAAGGAGCGTGTACCCTTTGATTCAGCTGGCTTGGCGGCTGGGAGGAGGGACTTTGTGACCTAATTACAGTTAGTTTCGACCCGCTTTAGGCGGAAGTTGGACTGGCGGGAGTCCGAGTCCGCCTCGCAACAGCTCGCGCCGTTTCGCAGCTACAGTATATCCTATCGTGTTGGAAACCCATGTCTGCGTCTCTTCAATCTCCTTAGTCTTTGCTTGGCAAAATGCCAGCGCTATGCGCTCGCGAAGCCTCCAGCGATGCGCATGCGCTGCTCCACGTAGAATGTCTCGCCTATTCCGAGATGAAACCGACCGTAAGGCTAGGTGATGGTAGAGCACGCGCGGGGGAGAGACGCAGACTGCGTAGCGGGCGGGAGCTGCCTTAATTACCCTATTTTCAGGTGTATAAGCCGCACCCTTTTCACTTTAAAGGCGAACACGCCAAAAGACTGACTGTCATCATGGAGCGCGTTAAGTGAGAGCAGTATGCGATAAGGCGACCGCTTCGCGAGACATATGCGCGGCGGCACGCTTACAGCCCGTGTCAATCACATGCTCTCTTTCCCGTAAGCGCAATGAGCTTCGCGTCACGTTCGCGCGCGCATGGCTCAGGCATTCAAAATGGCCTTGTCGATTGGAGGTTCGCACGTAGGATCCTTGCGTGCATGCGTAGTTCCCATGCGAAAGGAAATACTAATTGACATTGACTGTATGTCTGCTCGCGTTTAGAGCAAAAAGGGTGCGGCTTATACACCTGAAAATAGGGTAGGTCACAAACCACTGCCTTCCAGCCACCAAGCCATTTGAATTAGAGGATACTGCAGACGTTCACGCGGTCCCCCTCGTTTGGCGACGAGTCTGCGCTACCTTGGACATATTGCGCGGGTTTTGACGGAATGCTACTCAATGAAAAATCAGTGGAATACAAATTTCTGTTGCATTCTCTTCGAAGCAAATGCAGCAGATACTGTAGGTAGATGATACTATAGACATACTATGATACTATCCTATGATACTCTTTGATTTAACGGGATTGGTGGCTGGAAGGCGGAGTTTCGAGGCCTAATCAGGGCTAGGGAATAGTCGAAGAGCACGCTCGCGAGAGGGACACATGCTGCGTCGTGGGTGCGAGCTTTCGCCTCTAGCCGCCATTTCCTCTGAATCAAAGGGTAGAAGTGATCACTTTCGTGTCATTCCCACAATTTGAGCTTGCGAGTACACGACTGGCACTTTGCCAAGTCGAGAGGCTACTAGAATTGAGTCAACTATGCCAAGTCTTGGGGCAAATAACTTGAAATATGTAGGAAATGTTTAGCTTTTGAGGCTACTTTATCTGGCTTTTCCATTTCTGATGAAAGCGAAAAAGCCGAAACGACGTCACAATAAATTCTTTAGTTGCCCAGCTGAACAAAATAACCATGAAGAAAATTACTTTGTCAAAAACCTTATCATAAGGATAACAGTCGTGTATTCCAACAATTGGGCAACCACATAGATTGTCAAATTGGAAAAGGCAGTCATGACAATCAAATGGATTTTTTGCAGCTTCGGAGTTGTGCCATTTTGCACAATATCGTGTACTGATGCCTAATTCGCTTGCCTTGCGTAAAATTGAATGCGTGGGTGATCCAGAATCGATTGGAACAATGCACGGACACGAAAAGCGAGAATGAGTTAAGTAAATTCTAGCTGGAAAGCGGACATGAAAAGGCCTCAGATAGTAGACTAATTGTTAGCCTCGAGTATACTATCTCGTCCGCATGTTGCGTGCCATTTGACAACACCAAGTCATTTTGACCAAAATGAAACATACTCATAGGCTTTAAAAGTCATACACTATGCTCCTGAAGTCCGCGCGTAAGTATTAGAAACATTTGAAAATTGCCAAATTGCTGGGTGCTCGCGCGAGCGAATATGTTCCAGCACTGATGTGGATAAGTTTTGCAACTGAAGACATCTGCGGTTACTTTAGCTCCAGCGATGAAAGCAGCACTCAGTGTTGTAAAGGATGATCCCATTTCGCATTGTAAAGTAGCAACAGGATGATATTACCATAGAAAATCGTCAAGGCTTCCTTACACGAACGAAATATATATTTCCATCCCCAAGAAAACGAGCAGGCTCATCAATGTGGTTTGGTTGCAATCTTGCTACCGGGTCTTCCAACATGGAAGACATCGTCTATAGTTCAGTCAAAGAACTTGGTGCTTTCCCTGTCTCACACATTACTTGAAAAATCATGTGATTGATTTGGCGCTCAGCTCATTGGATTGCTAAGAGTTTAAATAGCTGCGGATTTACTCTCGTTTTCATACGAAAATATTCTACCCAGTTGAAAAACTTGTTTCATTTTTTCCCTCATAAAATTTACTGAACTACTCTAGCATAAAAACTCCTCATAACTTGCTTCTTTCATTAAATAGCTGACAAAATCGCGGAGCACTTTCATTTAAATGAAAAATTTTACATCTCACATATAACAAGTATGGATTCTTGCAAGTTACATTGACCGTTGAAAGCGATCATATGAATATGTGAATAATATCCTAAAGTTTTCAAATTTCCTAATATCCGCTTATATATAAGAGATTGTATATGATTATCGACAGGTAATCCACAGAGAAAAACTCGAGTAACCGTGATTTCGGCCGAGGGTTTGAAGAATATTCGAGCACACTTTGTTTGGAAACTTTTCCAATTATCTCCTTAAGATGGAGAAAGGGAAGGGACAGATTGGTTTAATTTTAGGAGTGGCGAATAAAACTTGACTTTCACGAGTTTATTTGTAGGAACCAAAGATGATAGTACTGTATGGGGAAAGATAGGGGTTTGGTTTATGATAGAAAAGCTTGGGAGAAAATGGTTATCATTTTCGATATTGAATACATTCTGAGAGAGGGAAATCCTAAACCCACGATTCGACCGAAGAGTGTATAGTGGAAACAACCTGTTGCACCAAAAGGAGCTCTGATAGCAGTGTGATCATGGATGTGGGGCTGTTAAATAAGCTAAAGAGCGGGTAGGCTTCTTCTAACATTAAAGGCAGCGTTTAGGCAAGTCTGGACACATAGGGATCTCACGTGGATAGTAATTTCGCGGCCCTAATTAAGCCATTGTCCAACCGGCAGCTCAGGTAGTGCTCTAACGGCTGAGATATTCCGCTCAAAACTGGACCCCGCGATCGTATCTCGCATGGATTCATGGCGCAAAGCATGGATCCTGGCGCGAAACTGCCATGAATCCATGCGAATACGATTGCGGCGTCCAGTTTCGAGGGGAATATTTCAGCCATTAGAATACTACCTGCGCTGTAGCTTGGGCAGTGCCTTAGATAGGGCCCCAAAAATACTTTCCACGTAAAATCCCCATAGGTCCAGATCTGCCTGGACGCTGCCTTTAAGGGTCGCATGCATCCCCGCCGGGGAGGGGATCGCAGCTTACAAAGAAAACTTCATCTCCTGAAGCTCCAGATATCTGATTTTCACACTGTCTACCTGTCAGTAAGTATTCACACCATCCTTCACTATGAACATAATGAACAGAAGCTGTACAAGCCGCATTTTCCAGCTTTTTATATGATCCCCTGATGATCACCGGGGCATCCGACCGTCTTTTCTTTAAAGCAATTTTTCTTCTTTCGAAGTCGATATAAACATGCCAAAGTTGTGCTGTTTATCTAAACCAACAGCGCTAATCATGTTTCTGATAAGAACAAATGATGTGTTGGAATCATGGAATTTGCGATGAACCACAAGTCGAAGGCTGGGGTTCATAGAAAATTTCGATATTTCAAAGACTCGTTTGTTCTCATCAACAGCATGCTTAGCACTGTTGTGTATGTTCAGTACAACTTTGGAAGGTTTTCGTGAACTTAGAAGGAAGAGGTGACTTTGGAGAAAAGACGGTCGGCCGCCTTGGATCATCAGGGGATCATACAATATGCAGGAAGGTGCGGCTTGTACAGCTTCTCGCTCCTGTTCGATACGTTCACAGTGAAAGAATGTAGGACGATCCAGATATTTGGAGCTTCAAGGTGTCAAGCTTTCTTTCTAAGGCCCGTATGCACTAACATTTTTGCGGCGAGGGGAGCGGCGTCCCCCGTTATGAAGGGACCGCGTGCGGACGCCGCTCCCCTCGCCGCAAAAATGTTAGTGCATATGGGCCTAAGTGCTTTAAACCGAGGGGATTAACTTATCACTAATCAATGTTTCCTAAGATCTAAAAACATTTTGAAAAAGAAAATCTTAAAGAATGCTGTAACTTTGGTGAGGAAAAGGTATGCCACAAAACTTCAAAAGTTCAAACTTTTGAATACACCTCATTCACACACACACAGCGGTATGTGTGAGATGTCTTACAAATTCGAGAAAAGTCTTATGTATAAAGCTGAATGTCTGTGTCTGGCTGTGTATGTATGTGCGGAACCACACATTTATATTTCTGAACCAGTCTGGACTAAACGTGGCACACAAGGAGCGGGGAGCGTGGTAAGCTACTCTTTGTTATCGATCGATATCGATTTTATCAATTTTTTTGCAAAGTTTGACCTACGAGGCTGGGAATTGGAATAGAGGAAATCGAGCATGCTGATTACGAATACAACATTAGTTTTCAAAGTTATCGGTTAAGTTTATCGATTTCATTGGATTTTGCAAAGTTAGAGCTACGGGGTTGCGAGTTGGCATAGGAAGGGCTGGGGGGGGGGAATAAGTGAGCATGCTGACTACGAATACAATATTAGTTTTTGGATTTATCGGTTACATTCATCGATTTTATCGGGTTGTTAATAGAATAGGGATGGGAGTGACACAAGGGGTAGGTGGGCACTGATTTCAAAAAAAAAACGGGATAGGGATTTGGCATATGGAAGTTGGCACAGGGAAAGTACAGTGATAAGGATGGGACCTTATCATAGTGTTTTGACAAGGCCAGGCGGAGCCGGGTAGCTAGTTCATTGATAAGATGAAGGCAGGGGTAGCGCGAATTATCTATCTTGATGGCATGAGAGCAAATAAGAGCGCTCTCAACTAGGCTTTCAGCCAATTATTTCTCCTTCTGATTACCATTCTTGGATGCCGATTTTTGCTGGTAAAATTTCACCGAAACTATCAACTCATCCTCATTCATCCTTTCCTCAGTGGCGCTCCGAATTTTCCTCGGTGGAGGGAGAGGGGCACAAATTTTTCTTTTCGAGTAAAGAGTCGTGCGTCAAAAAGCTCGAAAATTTCTGGGGTGCGGTGCCATATTCCCTCGCGCCTACAAGAACATTGAACATTACTCACTTCTTGAAACCATCACTTCTTACCGTCTATCTGCGAATTTTCGGTCCACGCAGACTTGTGCTGTCTTCTCAGCAAAGCCTGGAGAGCAGAGGAGTAGTCTACTGACCCATAATCTCCAGATTCTCCAAGCAAGCCAAATCATCATGAGAACTTTTATGAGAAAACTCTAGTTGTGTCATTTCTGCAGCAAACATTGGAAAATGCTTTCATTAAAAATCTCCCATATAAAATGTTTTTAAGGAGTTATCTCCCTGCTCTTGATTTCCTCAATAGAAGCGAATTCACGACCAGAGCACAGCTGTCTGGAATTCCTATAATATCTCTAAACAAGTTTACTTCTCGTAGCCATCAGGTACTTCAGCTTTCACGCGATTTATTCTTGCACAAGGACTTGGAGTTGAAATGAAAAAGTGAGCGCCCAAGCGTATATAGCATTTTAAATCGGCTAAGCGAGCGTAATTGCTTGTTTTTTTTGCTGCTTATGCTCGGCATATTATATAGCACGAGCAGGCATCCCGGGTTTCACTCCGGTTTGGAGCCAATCTATCAGTCTAAACTCCCCATCCTGCACACCCTGCACACTCTGCACACCCTGCACACTCTGCACACCCTGCACACCCTGCCCACCTGCACACCCTGCACATCCTGCACACCCTGCACATCCTGCACACCCTGCACATCCTGCACATATTGCACATCCTGCACATCCTGCACACCCTGTACATCCTGCACATCCTGCACGCCTGCACACCGTGAACACCCTGCACAACCTGCACAACCTGCACCCGAATGCGTACAAACAAACTCACAGATTTTCTGCTTTATATATATATAGAGATATTTGAACATCGTTACTAGGTATACTTGAACACTAATAACTTTGATCGTTCGTTGGAGGGGCATACAAGTGAAGTGAAGAAACTGTCGTTTGTATCTTATCAGCCGTAAAGGTTTTATGAGTACATGTCACACCTAATCTGCGTCAGCGTTGGGGTGAAAAATGAATCAATGTTGAGGTTTTATGCAGGTTTTTTTTTCATAATTGGTCGTTCGAATAAGTGGCACATTTTGTTTCATTTCGACATTTTGGGAAGAAACATGTCAGAAAATTAGATGTTAGGCGACGGTTGGCACTCATAAACATCAAAGGCAGTGTCCGGGCAAAAAGCCGACTTTGAGATTTCATGCTTATTCGGGCTTATTCGCTATGCTGAATCCAAAAATTCCCACTGGAGAGCCAAAAAACTCAAAAACGTCTCTAACGCAAGAGGGAAATCAAAAGGGGACGGGTCCTCCCCACTGTGATTTCACGCTCCCAGCTTCCGGAACGATTTTCCTGGTTCCCCCAGCCGCCTGTACATGGGGGTGGTGCAGGAGGAACCAAAGGGCTGCCGCCTGTATCCGCAGGAGATAATTAAGAGCGCGAGCGGTGTGGAGAAAATTCTGGCAGGGATCCAAGAAAACTCGGCTAGGACACCCTTTAAGAACAAATCTTCATAAATTTGCCTGGAAATGACTTCGAAAAATTTGAAAAACATATTTGTAATATAAATTGAAAGGCGCATTCACAGGGCCTAAAAATAAGCGAAAATTTGGAATTGTAGCGGTAACAAAAGTCAACTTTTTAACTTTTAACTTTTAACTTTTCAACGAAACTTTTTACGTTGAGTTTTGAAGTTTCAAATTGTTAAAGTCCGGGGTTTTCATTCAAAATTCATTCTTTTTCTTTAAGATAA